AGCTTGGTCGTGTAGTTCTCGCTGCGCTTCGCGTCCTTCCCGCGGGCCTCTGCGCGTGGGTGCCCCCCGCTGCAGAAACGCCTGAGCGAGTCGTCGAACCCGACATGGTCGGTGATGATCCGCCACGGCTTCTTGATGTTGATCCCATTCTTTGTCTTGAGGTTGAACGCGCAGCCGTCGAAGTCCACGACGCGCGGAAGCTGCTCCTTCAGAGCTGCTTGGCAATGGCGGTCCCATCCGTCGCAGTACCTCGGCCACTCGAACGAGACGGCGAGCTGGGCGCCGAACTCCTCGCGCAGCCGTGACATGGACTGCAGGAACAAGCCGATCATCTGCTTGGACTTGTCCCGATCCCTTTTCAACTTGGGGATCTTGCTCGGGTCGATCTTGACGACGAGTCGTTGTAGCGATGTCCGCGGCTGGCAGGGAAACGCAGCGTGAACTCGCACACTCTTGCCTGCGGCAAGGTGCTTCCGGATCCTGCCCTCCAGCTTCTGGACCACGACCTGCTTGGAGAGGTCGAAGCCTGGAAGACCGCGCCTGACAGCAGCTCCTCCCTTCTTCTTCCAGACGGCGCTGAGCTTGCTGTCCGGGTTGCAGCATCGCTCGTAGAGCACGGTGCTGTTCGCGATGAAGGTCGGATTGGATCTGGTTGTAGACTTGGCCAGATTAGTAATCAAGGCCTGGCCGATCTTGTGCGGCTGGATGCCGCTCTTGCTGGCGACGAATACTGAGCGCTTGCCAGCGATCAGCTGCGGCTTCGTCCCTTTCTTGAGCGTCCTCACGCGCGGCTGCTCCTCCTCCACGATGTTGGCCTCGGGTGCGAGGCAGCCGTTGGCGATGGCGTCCTGGCCGTGGCTCAGGGTCACGGGCGCGCCGAAAACGCAGTCCGAGCATAACCCTCGGTGGCTGCAGGCCTCGAAGGTCGCCTCGCCACAGGCGATGCAGTCCTGCAGGGGCTCGTGGGGTAGGTCGTCTGCGGCAGCGTCGCTAGCGCGAGGTCCGGAGCTGGAGCTGCGGTGGAGCAGCTGACCAGAGCTGAGGCTACGGCCGAAAGTAGCCGCGACCCCTTAGGTCGCCGAGTCTGGAGACGTCTGGGAACGTTCAGCTCCTTCTTCGTGACGAGGTTGTTGATGGCGTGAATCAGCGCGCTGCTCCTGGTAGCGGCGTTGACCGTGGGCTGGTCGCCCGCCCTCGTCTTCCGATCCCGTCGGTCGAGCGTCTTCTCGACCTCTACGTACAGGGTCTTGTCCAGCTGTCGCTTCCTTCCGGACAAGCTGGCTGCGCTGGGCGGTTGCTCCATGCTGGCGTCCTTGATGGCCTGCCAGTCCTCTGGCTGCAACGTGATTGCGGGATGTCCCGCGGCGCTCGTGGTGAGCTTCTGGGTGGCGTTCCCGATGTGGATCTGGCCCTCCCAGAGAGAGATGTCGATCTTGGAAGGCTGGATGAAATCGCGGCCGATGAGCAGGCCCAGCGCGGGGCTGTTCACGACGCTGAACACGATGCGGCCAGCCTGGCCGCACAGCACAAGCGGCGCGGTGACGCGCAGCTTGCTCGGGAGAGCACCCCCGTTGCCGAACCTGTAGACTTTGTTCTCCGGCTCTTCGAGGATCTGGTTGGCAAGCCCCATCCTCGCGAGGATGTCCCTGTAGTTGTCGTGCCACTTCTTGCCCGAGACGCAGGAAGGCAGGCGGTGTCGACCACGCCGACGCCTTCGCCCACGGGCTTGTCACTGCCGATCGCGACGTTCACGTTCGGCAGGTGGTGGATGAGCCTCTCCGAGACGCAAGTCTCTGGGGGCGGCGTGACTGGCCCCTGCGGGTGCATGGCGATCTCCTCGTCCGCGAATTGGACCTGCTCGGCGATGTGCGGCTGGCGCTGAGGACGGCCTCCGCGACCTCCTCGTCCACCGCCCTTTGACGTGCCGTCCTTGGGCGCGAACTTGCGAGCGCCTGGCGCGGGGCACCCCTTGTCCCCTGTCCAGTGTCCGGTCTCGCCGCAGCCCCAGCAAGAAGTATTCCTCTTGCGCTGGTCGACCCGGCCCTGTAGCTTGGTCGGGCGGCGGGGCGGTGCGGAACTTGACTTGCCGCGGCCCTTGAGGGCCTCCCGGGCCGATCTGACGGTGGCCATGGCCTCTGGAATAGCAGCAAGTTCCGCTGCGGCAGCTTCGCCATTGGCAGAGTCGTCGCCGTCGAAAAGCTCGGAGACGTCTACGTTGGAGGACTCGAGCTCGGCGCTGAAAGCCTCGAACCCCCGGCGAACCGTGTCCTGGGCGTCGATCTCGTCATCGTCGTCTCCCTCTTGCTCTTAGTCGTTCTCGTCGCCCGGCTCGCCAACGACGCTGGTAGAGCGCCCCCCGCGGCCGGAGGCAACATTGCTGCGCCAGCCGCCCTGTGAGCGCGACTGGTTGGTCCATGACCTTGGCGGGGGAGCGCGGCGCTCCGACGAGCGTGCATCCGGGAACGTCTTGACCGGCAGCGCGCGGCCGCACTGGTAGCCGTAGTGCTCGTCGGGCAGGTTGCCCACGACGCACTCTCGGCGCTCCGCCGCGAGCCCAGCCTTGCGCAGCAGGAACCATCCTGCCGCGTCGCCCAGCGCGTTGAGGTCCACCTCATTCTCGCGCAGCTGCTGCAATCCAGTCTCGAAACGGATGAGCCAATCCGTCATGCGTTCACCTCTTCGTCGGTGATGTTGAGTCGACTCGAAGAACTTCTCGAGGGTCTCGCCCTTCTGCACAGGCTTCTGCTGTCTCAAACTAGCCTCCACGTGCTGTAGCGCGTTCTCTATGCCAACCTGGTTCCTGTTGCGCTTCTTGTCATCGGGGTCTTCGATGTCCGCCGCGGCTGCTGGGTGCAGCTGCGCTTCAGTCAGATTCAATGCTGCGCCGCGGGCAGTCCCGCCCGGCTTCATCACGAGCTTCGATGCGAAGCTGTGGGCCACGGCGAGGTTCTCGCTGAACTTCCAGAATTTGACCTCCGCATTGTAATCTCTCTACTTTGCCGGGTCGCGATTCCATGTAGGGATGGTGTTGTGCGAGAAATTATCTGTCATTCTGTCGAGAATGAGGTAGTGAGCCGCGTCGCTGACACTGGCGTCGAAAGAGAAGGCGTCGACGCTGGCGTCGCTGACGCTGGCGTAGGAAAAGTAAGCATAGATGCTGGCGTCGCTGACGCTGGCCTTGGAGGAATCGGCGTTGATGCTTGCGTCGCTGACGCTGCCGTAGGAGAAGTAGGCACTGATGCTTGCGTCGCTGACGCTGGCCTGGGAGAAGTAGGCGAAATAGTCGTTGATGACGGCGTCGCTGACACTGTCGGAGAAATAGGCGTTGATGTCGGCGTCGCTGACGCTGACGTACGGGAAGTAGGCGTTGGTGACGGCGTCGCTGACGCTGTCGGATAAGTAGGCGTTGATGTCGGCGTCGCTGACGCTGACGTACGGGAAGTAGGCGTTGGTGACGGCGTCGTTGACGCTGCCGTAGGAGTTGGTTGAATAGGCGTAAATGTAGGCGTCGCTGACGCTGACGTGGATGATGCTAGCGTCGCTGACGCTGGAGAGGGCGTTGAGCAACAGCGCGACCAGGCGGTTCAGGAAGCCGCTGGGCTTCGATTCAGGAAAACGTGTCGCAAACGCCGTCTTGCAATATGTACGGCCGCGGGCCGGGATAGCGGAACGGCCTCGCTCCAGGCTGCCACTGTGATATGGATCGGCGCGCAGCGCCGGGGATGCTTTTGCTGTGAGCGCGGCTCGAACAATTGGCGTAGCACTAAGGCCAAGGGCCCTGAAAAATAAAAAATGGCAGCGGCGAGCAAGGAATGAAACCGCAGGGCCCTCGAGGCTTCTGGGGAACCCCTCTCGGGCCTCTTACATTCCTGTGGAGTGAACTTGATTCACAAGGCCAAGGCGAGAACCGAATATCGTGCCACACGCCACGCACGTAGCCGACGCAGACGCGAAGAAACGCCGCTCGCATCGCACACCGCGCTTGATGCGCGTGTGCTGGGCCAGCTGGCGCTTGGAAGCAAACGCCACCGAACAATCCGAGCAGCCAAGGATTCGATGAACCCGACAGTGCGAGCTTGCAGCCTAGATGCTTATGAAGGGGAACTGCGTGCAACGCACCACCACCGCTGCTGGGTAGCTGGATGCACAAGGGTCCTCCAGGCGCTTGCCGCCTGGCCCGGGTGTGCTTCGCAGCCCCATGTCCTCGATGTTTCAAACGTGCTTTGGTTTTCCCCGGCTGCCAAGTGATGTCTGAGTTCAGCACGCGGTACGAACGAAGAACAAAGCCCAACAGAGTATCGATTGACAGGTCCAGCACCTTGGCGCCCGATACATCCTCAAGATCCGCCGTGTCTCGGAGATTCCCAACATATCACATCCCGAGTTTGTCTTCTTCCTGCTGTCGTCTTCCTCGACGCCATTCCCAAAGACTGTTTGTCGTCGCGGGCCGTCTCTTTGATGGCGTTGGGGACTGTCCCAAGAGGCCCAAGCTGATGGAAAACGCCAACCCTGTTTTCTTCGCGACTCCTGCAGGTCTGGGTGCATCCCTGTCAAGAATCGGCCCCAGACCTCTCCAAGGGTGCGTTCTGACCAGGAGTTCGAGGCGAGTGAAGCCATGGCCATGAAGGCGTCCTAGGAGGCCAACGAAGTATGTCCGAAAGCCTCGATCCTCGATCCCCTGGACGTCTCCAGAGGTCTCCAGAAGCCATGGGGGGTCTTCGGAGGTTGCTGGCTCGCATCAGGCCTATCGCAACGGCGGGGCTTAGGTTCGGGGAGAAGGTGCAGTTTGCGAAAACGTGCATCCCGTAAATTACCCCTGGGATGATGTTGATGATGCTGCTGCTGATGATGATGCTGCTGCTGATGATGATCAGGAGAAAAGAACGGAGGAAACTGGGCAGACAGTTGCTGTCATATGCACTTCTTTCTTTTGCCGGGGAGAAGCAAGGAAAGGAGGGAACGCAATGGTTCTGGCCAGTGTTCACCTTTGCCCAATGCTCCGAGTATCTGGCGGCGCACTCGTCGGACCAGGCCTTCGTGCAATACATGGAGCACTTCATGTATTCGCACTCGGTGAGCTTCTTCCCGTTAGCGGGAATGTCCGACCTGCGATGCTCATCCTACCTCCTCCGCCTCCTCCTCCCTCCTTTCCTCCTCCTGCCACCTCCCCCCTCCCTCCTCCCTTTGCCGTTTCCCCCCTCCGCGCCCCTCCTCTTGCCCCCTCTCCTCCCTCCTCATGTTGCTGGTTGTCCTCCTCCTCCTCCTCCTCATCCTCCTCCTCCTGCTCAACTTCCTGCTGCCCCTGGCTCTGAGCAGGCACATGATAATGAAACCGCGTATACTCGAAAGGGGGAGGAAGATCCCTCCTGGGACCTACACCCTCGGATGCACCGCTGGACCGCCTTCTCGTTGCAGACGTCCGTGTACTTCGGGGCACACGCGTCCCGGGAGAAGCTGGCCTCCTGGCCGAGCGGGCACGTCTCGCATTCCACGATCTGGGAGGTGCCTTCCGCGGGCTGCGGGCTCTCTGAGAGGCGTCGTCGTCGTCGCCGTCATCGTGGTCGTCGCCGTCGTCGCGCGTCGCAATCGTCGCGCGTCGGGGGCTGGGATACACGTCGCCGTCATCGCCGTCATCACGCTCTCGCGCAAGCGGAGGAGGCGGAGAAGGGAGGCAAGAAGGAATACAAATATGTTACGATACATCGTTACAGGATGAGGCAGATCCAAAAAAAAAGGCGTTGTTTTCTACATTGTTTTCTACATTGTTGTTTGAGGCGTATTTTTGATTGTTACATTGTTATCTCTCCCCCCCTAATCCCCCCCCTGGAGTCGCACCACTTCCGTCGACCCAAAGGTGGAGGGCCCCCTGTGGGCCTAAAAACCAACAACAACCAATGGAAAATCAATGATTTCGGCTCCTTGGGCCTCCTGGAGGTCCAAGAGGGCGTGAAGACGGCTCAAGATGGTCTCAAGACGGGACAAAACCGCCCCAAGACGGCCCAAGATGGCCCCAAGAGGGCCCAACGCGCCCCCAAGATGTCCCAAGAGGGCCCCAAGAGAGCCCACCAGAGCGCTTCCAAAGGCCAAAAACATAGATTTCCTTTAGGTTGTTGAAAGATTTTAGCGTTCTCGCCTTTCTCGACTCTCAAAAGCCCATGGCTGCCCAGGCAGCCGCCAAAATTGTCCCAGAAAGACTTAAGAAGCCCCCAAGAGGGCCCTCAAACGGCCCAGGAGGGCCCCAAGACGGCCCACAAAGACCCCCAAGGCAGTCCAAAAAAACCCTGAGACGGCCCAAGGGGACCCCAAGAGAACCCCAAGGCGGCCGCGAGAGGCCCCCAAGACGGCCTCCGAAGGGGCGGAGCGGCGCAAAAGCGCCCCAAGACGGCCCAAGACGCACACAAGAGGCCCCGAAAGGCCCCCAAGAGGCCCCCAAGGGCCCCCCCCCAAAAACCCAAGAGGCACCCAAAAAGTCCCCAAAAAGGCTCCAAGAGGCCTCAAAGAAGCCCCCACAAGGCCACACAACGACTGGAGTGTGTAATATTATGTTGCTCCCCCTGGGCGAACTGCGGCGCAGCACCAGCCAGGTGGAAGTTGGTCACGGCGGCGCCCATGATTAGAGCCGGCGCTGAAAGGGAAAATGGGGAGGGAATCTGAAAATGAGGGGGGGAGAGGCCCCAAAAAAGTCCCCAAGAGGCCCGCAAAAGCTCCCAAGAGGCTTCCAGGAGGCCCCCAGGAGGCTCCCAAGAGGCCCCGCGACGACGTGACTGTACGTGCTCCGGACGTGCACCCCGCGAAGCGAGAGGAATCCACGTCCGGAAGTGAAGTGTTGCCAGAGGCAGGTCGCGCAACGGAGCGGAAGCCCTAATGCAATGGATCCAATGTGTCCAATGTTTGCATAATTGCCACGTGTTGTATTGTGTTGCATTCTTATGTCTCCCCCCCTGACCCCCCCGGAGTCGCGCCACTTCCGTCGACCCAAAGGTGGACGGCCCCTTCTGGGGCCCAAAAACCTACAACAACCGACAAGAAATCAGCACATTCGGCCTCTTGGGCCTCTTGGGGCCCCAAGAAGGTTTCAGGAAGGCCCAAGGTGGCCCCAAGAGGGCCCATGAGGCCCCCAAGAAGGTCCAAGAAGCCCCCAAGAAGACTCCCGAGAGCGCCTCCGGAGGCCCAAATCTTGGACTTCCCTATAGTGTCGGGACAATTTCAACGTTCTCGCCTTTTTCGGCTCTCAGAAGGACATGGCGGCCCAAGCAGCCTCCAAGAAGGCCCCCAAACGGCCCAAAAAGCCTCCAAGCGGGCCCCAAGACGGCCCAAGAGGGCCCCGAGACGGTTAACAAAAACCTCCAAGACGGCCCAAAAAGACCCCAAGACGGCCCCAGAGGACCCCAAGAGAGCCCCAAAGCGGCCGCGAGAGGCTTCCAAAGTGGCCTCCGAAGTGGCCAGACGGCGTAAGAGCGCCCAAGGACGGCCCAAAACGTCCCCAAGAGGCCCCAAGAGGCTCCAAAGAGGCCCCCCAGAGGTTCCAAAAAACTCCTAAGAAACTTTCAAGAAGCTCGAAGCCCCACAACGACTGGACTGAACGTGCTCTGAAACACCCTCGGTGAATCACTAAACAATAATATCCCGCCCTGGGCGAACCGCGGCGCAGCGCCAGCCAAATGGAAGTTGGTCACGGCGGCGTCCGTGATCAGAGCCAGCGCTGGAAGGGAGGAGGGGGAGGGGAGAAGGAAAAGGAGGGATGGCGGGAGGCGGGAGGGAGGGGTAGCAGAGGCACAGAGCGCCCCAAAACAGCCCAAGACGCGCAAGAAGGGCCCCAGGAAGCTCCGAAGAGAACCCCACAAACGCCCAGAAGGCGCAGCCCAGAGGCCCCCCGCAGAGATCCCGTGCAGTCCGGCAACGACTGGGCTCCACAAGACCCCCAAGAGCTCCCAGGACACTCCGAAACGACTGGACTGTACGTGCTCCGGACGTGCACCCCGCGAAGCGAGAGGAATCCACGTCCGCAAGTGACGTGTTGCCGGAGGCAGGTCGCGCAGCGGAGCGGAAGCCCTAATGCAATGGATCATATGTGTCCAATGCTTGCATAATTGCCACGTGTTGTATTGTGTTACATTATTATGTCTCCCCCCCTACCCCCCCCCGGAGTCGCGCCACTTCTGTCGACCCACAGGTGGAGGGTCCCTTTTGGACTTAAAAACCAACAAAAACATATAAGAAACTAACAAATTCAGCCTCTTGGGCCTCTTGGGGCCCCGAGGTTTCAAGACGGCCCAAGCTGGCCCCAAGACAGCCCAAGACGGCCTCAAGACGGCCCAAGATGGCCCCGAGGGGGCCCATGAGGCCCCCAAGAAGACTCCCGAGAGCGCCTCCGGAGGCCCAAATCTTGGACTTCCCTATAGTTTCGGGACAATTTCAACGTTCTCGCCTTTTTCGGCTCTCAGAAGGCCATGACGGCCCAAGCAGCCTCCAAGAAGGCCCCCAAACGGCCCAAGAGGCCCCCAAGGGGGGCCCAAGACGGCCCAAGAGGGCCCCGAGACAGCCAACAAAAACTTCCAAGACGGCCCAAAAAAACCCCTAAGGCGGCCCCAAAGGACCCCAAGAGAGCCCCAAGGCGGCCGCGAGAGGCTTCCGAAGTGGCCTCCGAAGTGACCAGACGGCGTACGAGCGCCCAAAGACGGCCCAAAACGTCCCCAAGAGGCCCCAAGAGGCTCCAGAGAGGCCCCCCAGAGGCTCCAAAAAGCCCCTGAGAAGCTTCCAAGAAGCTCCCAAGAGACCCCCAGGAGGCCCCACAACGACTGGACTGAACGTGCTCTGAAACACCCTCGGTGAGTCACTAAACAAGAATATCCGCCCGGGGCGAATCGCGGCGCAGCGCCAGCCAGATGGAAGTTGGTCACGGCGGCGTCCGTGATCAGAGCCAGCGCTGGAAGGGAGGAGGGGGAGGGGAGAAGGAAAAGGAGGGATGGCGGGAGGCGGGAGGGAGGGGTAGCAGAGGCACAAAGCGCCCCAAAACAGCCCAAGACGCGCAAGAAGGGCCCCAGGAAGCTCCGAAGAGAACCCCACAAACGCCCAGAAGGCGCAGCCCAGAGGCCCCCCGCAGAGATCCCCTGCAGTCCGGCAACGACTGGGCTCCACAAGACCCCCAAGAGCTCCCAGGACACTCCGAAACGACTGGACTGTACGTGCTCCAGACGTGCACCCCGCGAAGCGAGAGGAATAATTTATGACTGAAACGGTTGCAAACATTTGAAACGAATGTGCGCGGCGCTTAGGCGAGAACCACAATTTGAACATGAGCCGCCCTCCATCCGCGAAACTCTTGCAACTGTTTCAACGGATGCGCGCGGGGCTGAAACGAGAACAACATCTTGAAAACCACCCGCCCTCCATCCGTGAAGCTCTGGCTAATCTTCAAGACGAATGTGCGCGGCGCCAAAAAAAGAACCACACTTTGAAAATCACCCGCCCTCCATCCGTGAAACTGGCGCAACTGTTTAAACGAATGCTGGCGGCGCTTAGGTGAGAACCAATTTGAAAACGAACCGCCCTCCATGGTACCGTTAAGATGAATGTGCGCGGTAACAAAGCGAGAACCACATTTTTGAAAACGAACCGCCCCACAGCCGTGAAACTCTTGCAACATGCAAACTTCAAGATTATAAACGGTGGGGAAGACTCAAGCGAATCGCCTGGCCCACCCTACCGACCCGTCTGGGGATGCGACAGGAAGCAGCTATTTATCAGGACGAGGGACGGAAGGGCGAAGAGGGACGGCTGCCCCGCCACTGGCCTCTCTGCGAGATCCTGGGGCCCTCGCGGCCAGGCTGCTCGTTCGGGGGGCACACCTTGAACATGTCGCAGCCGCTGCAGAAGTCTCCAGCCTGCCGGCGGCGCGCAAGGGGGGCAGGAGAAGGACGAGGAGGAGGCTGAGCCCGCGCGCGTTCTCTTACCGAGCAGCAGGGCGGGTTGCCTGGTGCGCGTGCTCGTTCCTCCAGCGAGGAGCGCGGGCGTTCTCATACTGGCAGGGCGGCCTAGGCTGATACTGGGGACCTCAGAACGTATGCGGGTGTGTGCCGAGGTGAAAGACCAAAGTTCATGTGAGCCCTGCCGCTGGAGCTTTCGGTGGAGCTCCCTATGGGGCCATGAAGCGTGCGAACCCTGGCATTCGGGCCTGAGTGATACTCCTTATGGGACGACGAAACCTGCGGGGGGGGTGCTGGAATGAGGGGCGGGAAAACCCACACTGTGGTATTTGGGCCTTACTTGGGGCTTCCTCTGGGGCCACGAAGCGTGCAACGGGTGCGCCGAAATTCATAATATGATCCCATGCGAAGCGCTTGGATTCAGGCTTTCGTTGGAACCCCATCGTATGGGGCCACAGAGCGTGTGAGGGTGTGCCGACATGAAAAGCGCAAGCTCATGCGAAGCCTTGCATGTGGGCTTTACTTCGAGCTCCCTATGGGGTCACGACGCGTGTGTGTGCCGAAAAGAACAGCGGGAACTCATGCGAACTCTGGCATTTGGACCTTACTTTCAACTCCATACGGGGCCACGAAACGTGTGGGGTGTGGACCGAGAAGAAAAACGGAAACTCATGCGAAGCCGTGCGCGTGAGCCTTAGTTGGAGCCCCTTATCATGGGACCACGAAACATGTGAGGGGTGTGGCGAAAGGAGATGCAGAAACTCGTGCGAACCCTAGCATGTGGGCGTTCGCAGGAGCTCCCTATGGGGCCACGAAACGTGTAAGGGGGAACGCCGACATGAAAGCCGGGAGCTCATGCGAACCCTGGCACGAAACAGCCAACATGAAAGGTGGGAGCTCATGCGAACCCTGTCACTGAGGCCTTCGGTGGAGCTCCCTGCAGGGCCACGAAACGTGCGATTGATGTGCCGACATGATTGGGCCTTAGTTGGAGCTCCACTTTAGGGCGCCACGGAACGTGACAGGCGTATCGAAATGAAAGGGCGGGAGCTCGTGCGACTCCTGGACTGTGGGTCTTCGGCGGATCTCCCTATGTGAGGCGGGAACTCATCCGACTCATGGCATTTGGACCTTCGTTGGGGCTCCCTGTGGGGCCACGAAGAGTGTGAGGGGTGTGCCGACATGAAAGGCGGGAGTTTATGCGCACCCTGGCATTTGGGCCTTAGCTGGAGATCCCTAATGGGGCCACGGAGCGTTCGAGGGGCGCGCCGAAATGAGAGGCGGGAACTCATGCGACCCTGGGCATTGGGGCCTTCGGTGGAGCTCCTTATGGAGCCACGAATAGTGTGAGAAGTGTGCCAAATGGGTGCGGTGACGAAATACAAACCGTGACCCTGCCGCTGGGGTCTTCCGTGGAGTGCTCGATCGGGCCACGAAACGTTTGATGGGGCGTGACTGATGGTGGCGATGTTGCTGCTGATGATGCGGATGATGCTGATGCTTATGATGACGATGCTGATGCTGATGCTGATGCTGATGCTGATGCTGATGAACAGGACTCCCATTAGCGGTAAGGGACAAGAAGAAGGCAAGCGGACAAGAGGCGAGAAGAGGGCAGACGAGAGGAGGGCAATCGGACAAAACGCGAGAAGAGGGCAAGCAGAAACGACCGTCCGTATCAAATACCGCTGCTGCTGTAGATAGTGGTGAAGATGATGTTGATGATGCTGATGCTGATGATTATTGTGGTAACGCTGATGATGATGGGGATGATGATGACGATGACGATGATGAGGGAGGAGGGGGGAGGAGGAAGGAGTAAGGGACGCGGGGCGTTGGTGATTCAGGATGGTTGAAAAAAAAACAATTGTGCTCGCCAACGTGTCTCTGTTTTCTGACTCTGCAAATCGTCTCTTGGCCTCGCGGGAAAAAAAACAACAACTTTGCGTGAAAACTGGACCCGGGAAAGGAGCCGAGATCCCCGGGGGCCCAGGTCACGAAAAGAGCCCTCTGGGCCCAGGTGGCTTAGAGCGCTTCCTCTTCCGACCCCCTTCTTTCTATTCGGGGAGGGGGGTACCTCTCCCCTACTCCCTCCCCTGAGTCTGGACGAGGGCGGGGGCGCGGAGCGTTAATTGGCGGCGCGCGTAAGGGGGTGGAGGGAGGGGGGAGGCTTCTTAGAAGGAGGCTGCTCCTTAGAAGGCGCCGGCCTTACATCTATAGATAAGGCCCGCGCCTTCTAGGAAGCAGGGGTGCTTCTAAGAAGCCCCCCCTCCCACCACCCCCATCTGTGCGTGGCTGAGTTGAAGCGTCCAGGACGGCTCAAGATAGCTCTAGATAGCCCAAGATGGCCTCCAAGCTGGCGAAAGATAGTGCAAGATGGCTCAATGTACGTAGCCTTCAACATGCCTCCACGAGGCTCCCAGACCGCCCCAAGAGGGGTCCAAGTGGCCACCGAGCCTCCTAAGGACACCCCGAAGAGGCCCGACATCTTCCGAATCCGAGAAGAACGAATGTCGTTTGCCTTCTCGCCTTGTTCCCGGTGACCGTTTGAGGCCTTGCGATGGCTCCAAGATGGCCCAAGAGGGACCATCAGGGCTGCAGGACGGCCCCAAGAGCGCCCCAAGTGGCGAGTTCTCGGGCCCGAGAGGGGCAACACAAACAAGACCCCCCCTGTCGCACAAAGCCCAAATCATGAAAACGCCGTAGGTTTATAGGGATGTTGGCATCTCGGCGGGAAGGCCAAGATGGCTCCAAGACGGCCCCAGATGGTGCATTACTGGTCCAAGATCTCCTCCAACATGGCTCCAGAAGTCCACAGCCCCCCCCCAAGATGGCTCCACGTGGCCACGGAGCGTCCCAAGGAGACCCCCGAGAGGTCAGACTCATTCGCACGCCTCATGGTTTCTCAAAGGTGTAATGCTTTTCGCATTTGTGCTTCCGATGGGCCTCTGAGATGGTCCCAATATCGCCCAAGAGAGTCTCAGGAAGAGCCCAGAAGAGGTCCAAGACAGCCCCCAAAGCGCCCCAAGAGGGCTCCCAGAGGCGATCTTTCGAAGCTAAGAGGGGCGACGCTATCGGCGACGCACTCATGTGCTTCGATGGCCTCCAAGATGAGGCCCCCAAAAGGGTCCTACGAGAGCCTCAAGAGGAACCCGGCAGCTTCCAAAAGGGCCCGAAGAGAGCTCCAAGAGGTCTCTAAGTTCACTATTGCTGGCCTCTTTGTTTCGCTACATGCGTATGGATCCCCTCTGCGCCGACAGCTCGCCTACGCACTGTTTCTGGATGGGGCAGTGGGGATACTGGGATACTCGAAGCGTCAAGACTGCGACGTCGGAGGAGAGGGTCCAACGCTTAGGGCTTTTTTGTGGAGGCCTCCAGGAGGGCCCTCGTCGCAACAAGGGGAGGGCCAGGGTAGGGCGGCCGTCTCAGACGGCGGCGGGGTTTCTCAGAAGCCCCCGCTTCTTCCGAGAAGGCTTCTGCGCCTCCTCCGAAGCCCCAAGCACCTTCTGAGCAGGCCAACCCCCTCTGCCCTCCCCCCAGGACGGGCAACCGATAACCCCCCCCGCCCCACGCCCCTCAGACGGCGTGGGACACATGGTCTCCGAGGGCGCGACCCCTCCTAAGATGCCCCCTGCCTTCTCAGGAGGCCGCCACCCTCGCCCTCCCCTCCCCTCCCCTCCCCTCCCCCCTCTCCCTCCTCCTCATCATCACCCTTCCTCCCTCGCTCCTCCTCTCTCCCTCCTCCTTGTGCTTCTCCTCGATGTTGCACGATCTGAGATGCAACCCGAAGCTGGTCGATGACTGAAGATAAGCGACATGCAACATATGCAACAGAACACCCAGCACGGGGAGGGAGATTATCCCAGGGGCACAATGCCAATCCACACCAGAAACCCATCACAACACACCTTCTCATCCTCCTCCTCCTCCTGCTCCTCCTCCTCCCCCACTTCCTCCTCCTCCCTTCCCCAGCCTCGACGACGCCGACGCCGACGCCGACAGGACGACGACAGGACGACGACAGGACGACGACGGCGCCGACGACGACGACGACAACGACGACGACGGCGACGACGCCAGCGCCTCACAAAGCAAGCACTCGGGGAGCCCGCGCCAAGATAGCACTGCGTCCTCGGTCGAGTAGCACGACGACCGGGAGCACGTGGCGCAGCACAGGTAGAAGCCCGGCGGGCACAGCGGCTCGTAGGGCTCCTCTCTCCTCCTCCTCCTCCTCCTTCTGGAAGTTCTCATGGGCCCCTCGGAGTCCCTAGAAGCCCAGAAAGACCCCTGGAGGCCCGCGAGCCTCGCGCCCTCGAACCCTCGATCCTCGAACACTCGAGGGTCGAACCCTCGGAGGTCGCGCCCTCGGAGGACGAAGGGCGAACCCTCGAACGAAGGTCGAACGCCGCGAGCCGAGACCCCGCGCGCCACGACCGGGGCGGAGTCCGCTCGGTCCTCAGACACGGACCTGTCCTTGCACACGGCCATGTCCTCGGGGGTGAGGGTGCAAATCGAAGCGCACCCTCCCTCCCTCCCTCCCTCCTCCTCTCCCTCCCTCCCTCCCTCCCTCCCTCCCTCCCTCCCTCCCTCCCTCCCTCCCCTCCTCCTCCTCCTCCTCCTCCTCCTCCTCCTACAGTCAAGCTGCTACCAAAAGGAACGCTGAATCAGGAACGATTTTTTGTTTCGGCCCCAAGAGCGCCTGAGCGCAAAGGAACGCTAGAGCTAGAGGAACAACCATGGAAGGATCTCACCAAGAGCGAGTCCCTTCCGAACCCGAACTGTTCTATCCGCCAGCGTTCCCCCTGGCACGTGAAGGCGTGCTGGAAGGCCAAATGCTAGCAGGGTATCTGTAATCTTCTGAGGGACCCCCCTTCCCGCTCGTCGCATCCCCCTGCGCGCACCGCTCATGCCCAGACGCGTCCCTAGCGCTCTCCAAGGCGTCGGAGATACCCAAGATGGCTTCTCAAACGGCCAAGGCAAGCCACCAAGGCCGCCGACATGGGCCAAGAGGCCTCCGTGACGGCCCAAGAGACCTCCAAGATGGCCCCAGGCGGCTCCCAGAGAGCCTCCAGCAACACACCATATGCTCTCCAAGACGGCCCAGCATCAATGGACCGTACCCTGATTCTGTATACCTTTTCGATCGCCTCCAGCTCCCACCCCTCCACCGTGCACGTTACAATCGCCGCCGATCATGCTGGACTGGCACGATGGCGGGACTTGCTGCAGGCAGCTGGATGCTTGAGCGTCTTGACTGTACTCCTCCTCTTCCTTCGACTCCTCCACTCCTCTTCCTTCTAGATAACTCTTCCCTGTCGCACAATCAGACGTGTTGCTAGGACGGGCTAGGCGTTTCGTCTGAGACTTCGTCACCATGTGCGTCCTCGAAACCTGCAAGGTTCATCGGCTACACGGATGGTACACATGTTGTTTTCGAAATAAGGTTCTCGCCTTGGCGCCGCGCGCACCCGTCTTAAACGAAGTAATACCGCGAAGGACCCAACCATATGCACTTATGAGTACCGCAATTGTGACCTTCGGTGCAGCTCTCTATGAGGCCGCCGTGATTGTACGACACGGCTTATGTTGCGAAACCTCCCTATGTGGCCACGGATCGTATGAGGGGCGTGTCGACATGAGCTTGGGGACGCCATGCGCCCTTTCCCGCTAGGGTTCTCGGTAGAACTCGAGATCTTGCCACGACACGTGCGAGGGGCGTGCCGAAATGTATAGGGTGGCGCCATGCGCTTTGTGCCGTTTGGACCATCGATGGAACTTCCTAAGGGCCCTCGATGAATGTGAACCGTATGCCGACACGAACGGGCGGACGCCATGCGGGCCCCATCTGGCTGGGGCCTTCGGCGGAGCCCCCGATGAGGGGGCGTGAACCGTGTGAGGGGTGTGCCGAAATGGACGAACTTTCCCACAGGAGCCTTCGGTGGAACTCGCTGTGGGGCCACAAAGCGTGACGGGTATGCCGACATGGGCGGGGGAACGCTATGCGTCCTTCCCTATGGAGCCGCGAAGCGTGTGAGAAGTGTGCAGAAATGGCGGCGGGGACGCCACGCGGACTTTCTTCCCAGAGCCGTCGGTGGAGCTCCCTGTGCTCCCACGAAACGTGTGCGAGGTGCATCGAATTTCGCGGCGCGGGCGCATGTGAACTTCCCTACTGGGGCCACGCTATGTCTGATGGGTGTGCCGAACTGGGCGGCACGCCCACTGGGGCCTTTCGTGGAGCTCCCTATGGGGCCACAGAAGGTGTGAGGGATGTGCCGAACTGGGCGGCGGGGGCGCCGTGCGATCTTTCCAACTGGGGCATTCGGTGAAGCTCCCTATGGGGCCACGAAGCGTGTGCGACGGGTGTGCCGAAATGGGCGAAAAGAAGCCATGCTGGCACTGTCCGACTGGGGCCTTCGGCGCAACGCATGAACCGTGTGAGAGGTGTGCCGAAACGGGCGGCGGGGACGCCATGCGCCTTCTCCCACTGGGGCCTGGTGGGGCTCCCTATGTGGTCACGGAGCGTGTGTGCCGACATAGGCGTTGGGGGCGCATGTGAACCGACCCACTGGGGCCTTCGGTGGTACTTCCTATGGGGCCACAAGACGTGTGCTTGGGTGTGCCGAAATGGGCGGCGTGGACGCACGCGAACTTCCTCACTGGGGCCTTCGGCGGAGATCCTCATGGGGCCACGAAGCGTGGCAGGGGTGTGCCGAAATGGGCGACGGGGGCGCCATGCGAACTTTCCCACTGCAGCCTTTGATGGAGCTTCCCCCACACCTTACGTGTGACGGGTGCGCCGAAATGGTAGGCGGGCCACACGCCTTGTCATACCAGGGCCCTCGATGGAACTCCCATATGAAACCACGAAACTTGTGAGAGGGGCGTGCCGAAATGGGCGGCGGGGATGCTTGTGAACTCTCCCACTGGAGCCGTCCATGGAGGTGCACACTTGCCACGAGACATGTGAGGAGTGTGCCGCAATGGGCGGCGGGGGCGCCATGCGAACTTTCCCACTGGGACCTTCGGTGGAGTTCTCTATGTGGCCACGAGACGAGTGAGGGGTGCGTGAAAATGGGAGGCGAGGGAGCAGTTTGAATTTTCCCACTGTGGCATTCGTTGGAGCCTCCCACTGTGCCACGAATCATGTGAGAGGTGTGGGGCCTTCGGTGGGGGTGAACTTTCCCACTGGGGCCTTCGGCGGCGCTCCCTATGAGGCCACGCAACGTGGGAATGGTGTGCGGGGGAGGGTAGGAGCACTGGATGATGGGGGCAGCGAAAGGCTGGGAGACGCGGGGCGCTGATTTGAAGCGAAGGCCCACCACCGCATGATGCAGTCGTAAACATAAACAAATGCACATATGATGTCACATATGGGAACTGCTTCGTTCTTAAATGGTGCTACCGCTTTGGCACCGCGCACGCTCGTCTTAGACAAAATCAGCAATCACCCGTATGTATGGCGGCTCATATTGAAACGGAAGCTCCCGCGTGACAACTCCTCAAACTCCCAACAACCCTTGTGCGGAGGCGGTATAACGGCTCCCTCTTACAAGGCCCAACGGTCCCTTATTCGGGGAACGTTCCCACCCTCCCTCCCCTGAGTCTGGACAGAGGGGACTAAAGTGGCAGACAGCCTTCTTAGGTTGAAGATGGCCTACATATAGCTCGCGATGCGCCAACATGGCCTCCAAGATGGCACAATGTAGCCCAATATGGACCACGACAACTTCCGACATACCTCCAAGATGTTCCAAGACGGCTCCAAGTGCTCGTGGAGCCCTGCACTGAACTTCCCAAGATGTCAACATCGTCCCCGAATATATGGGACATCAATGATGGCTGCCCCGTCGCAATTTCGCCCCAGACTGGCCTTCGATGCCAAATGATCGCTCCAAGATGGTCCGAGAGAGCCGCATGAGGTGCCCAAGAGTGCTGCAAGACGGCCGCACGAGCGCCCAAGAACGTCGCTCCTAGAGGCAAATGCTTGGCCTCCGATAGGGGGACTAGACGTCAGGACCCCCCTCCGCTTGAGCCACGAGGCCCACGATCGCCCATAGACGCTCCCCGAGAGCCCCCAGAGGGCCCCATGCCTTCCCAAATGAGCCCCACGAAAACACAAGAAGGCCCCAAGAGGGCCTCGAGGGGCCCCCAAGGGGACCCCTAAGAGGGCCCCCAAATGGCTCCAAGAACCCTCCAAAAATCTCTCGCAACAAAATGTCCGCGAAGGCCTCCTCCTCCTCCTCCTCCTCCACCACCACCACCACCACCATCATCATCATCATCATCATCATCATCATCACCATCATCATCATCATCATCATCATCATCATCATCATCATCATCATCATCATCATCATCATCATCATCATCATCATCATCATCATCACCATCACCATCACCATCACCATCATCATCACCATCATCATCAGCATCAGCATCAGCATCAGCATCATCATCATCATCAGCATCATCAGCATCATCATCACCGCCACCACTATCACCATCATCATCATCATCAGCAGCATCATCACATTCATCAGCATGGCCATCACCATCATCATCACCATCACCGTCAATATCACCACCACGACCATCACCATCATCATCATAAACACCACCATCACCATCACCATCACCATCACCATCATCATCACCATCATCATCAGCATCAGCATCGTCACCATAACCATCATCATCATCATCATCATCATCATCATCATCACCACCACCACCACCATCATCATCATCGTCGTCGTCGTCGTCGTCGTCATCATCCTCATCCTCATCCTCATCCTCCTCCTGCTCCTCCTCCTCCTCATCATCATCAGCAGCATCATCCTCAGAGAGAACTTGACTGGCAGAAGTTGCCGAACTCTTCCTTCAACCAACTGGGGGGGACCCCCCCCCGTAAGATTCACCCTCCCCCTTTCCTGCAACCTCCTCCCCCCCTTCGCCCAGTACCCTCCGCCCCCACCAAACCCCCCTCCCATTCCCAAACCTGGAGGGGGGGCTCAACCCCCCGCCCCTCTTTCTTCGGATTCCATAGAAAGTAGAGGGGGGGAGGGAGAGTTTCAAACGCCTTTCCAGAGGGTGTTTTTTCATCTGGGGTCTGTCTTTGCTGTTACCCGGGGCCCGAGAACGGCCCCCAGAGGCCGAAATCGAGGAATTACACCCCTAGCGGCAAAACGCCCCAAACAGCTTTTTGGAATACTACAGAAAGCACTGCATAGCTGTATCACTGCAAGAATGTACAGCACTTGCACTAGACAGTGCTACGCTATGTCTGATAAACAAGAGGTTAGGGGGGTAATATCGAAGTGAGACGGAGCCCCCCCCGAGAAAATCGGTTTCGGTCTCGCGTTCGTGCCGTGCGCGCGGGCGAGGGGAAGCTGCGTGGGCCGGCGAGCGGAGCGATCCCGCTGTGGCTAGGGCGACGTCAGAGCAAAAGTCCATCCTCTGGCCGATTGGCGACTGGTTCTGCGCCGATGTCC